CACGCGCGGGGGCGCAGCACTGAGCAAGCGCTCCTCCTCCGGGTCCACCCGTCCGCAGGGCCGCAGTGACTTGACGGGCGCATGCGTGGAGAAAAGGGTGCATTTTCCAAGTTCTGCTCAGCAGACGCCACGCTGTTCGCACGTTTCTTCACTCCCAGGTGCTACATCTTCTCCACTGAGAGCCTTCCCTCTGGGAGTTTTGATATTGTTTCCACTCCACTCCCTTGGCTCACAAGGCAGCAAGTCAATGGCAGTTCACCAATTTGCCAGGAGCTATACACTCCTTCGTGTGAAGGGGAATTCTTTGCCGCGCCTGCCACTGAGGCAGTTGGGAGGAGGGACTGCACATTATGCTTCGTTTCTCTGCGGCGGCATCTGGTTTAACTTGGGGAGCCTGTAGGTCACTCATTTCCCCTCTGTGAAGGCCACGTGGGCGACATTTCTGCATAATTTGGGACGGAGCAGAACAGTGGGTGAACTTTTGTCCTCAGTCATAAGCGGTCTGCATTGTTTTTTGATCCATTTCAGAGACTTTAGAGACAAACTGGAAAGGTTAACTGACCCCAAGTTGGGCAGTAGCAAATATGGGGATGGGCAAGGGACCCTCATGATGTCAGGAGTGGGCTGTGTGGAAGGAGCAGCGGCCTTGCGGGACCACGCGCCTCGTGGGTAAGTTGGACCAGGAACAGGCAGCCAATGCGGGGATCAGACCTGATCCCGCCGCTGACCCCTCCCCCAGCAGGGGGCGCAGCTCCTCTGTTCACACTTCCCGCTCAGGGAGTAGGGGAAGGTGAGAAAAAAACCAAGTACACGCTCCAGCAAATGTCATCTGTGCCATCAGCTGAGCCCAATCAAGAGCTCTATTTTAAAAATATATATATTTTTTATTGATTTCAGAGAGGAAGGGAAGAGAGAAACATCAATGAGAGAGAATCATTGATCGCTGCCTCCTGCACGCCCCCTACTGGGGATCCAGCCGGGCATGTGCCCTTGACTGGACTTGAACCCAGGACCCTTCAGTCTACAGGCCAACGCTCTATCCACTGAGCCAAACTGGCTAGGGCAAAAGCTCTACCTATATATTTTTTATGGTGCAAAGTCTTAGTTAACTTTTTCCTTTACTCACATTGGTGCTGATAACTGTGTACTGAAAGGGTTACCTGAAACCTTTTAAATATACATTTTTCCATCAAATCAAACTGACCACTATATTTATTTACCTCAAAGAAAGGTCACCTCTGTGATGGGGAAAGGATGCACCCTGTTCTCGGAAGTGTGAACAACAATTTGAGAAAATAGGAAACGTTTACACACATTAGTTTTTTATTGAAGAGGCAGTTCAGACCCATTCATATATGCAAAGGGTAGGATGACAAAATATGCAATGACCCGTCACCTTTCAAATATTTTACTTAAAATATACATTATAGTAATTAAGCTTTATGGTCACAGTGTAGGAAATTTTAGCAGTTGCAATGGAAACTACTATAAAGAGTATTTCCTGCACAGAATTATGCAAAATCTACCATGTACTTCCTGTTCTGCAGCATATTCATACTCATCTAGAAAAATATGGCAAGAGTGCTGAGCAACAGAAATGGTAGACATCTGAGATTTTAAAACTTTTTATGGAAGTCTACACACATGCAGACACACAACACACATATCCCGCGTGCACACAACGCTGGGATATTCAGCACCCACATTTCAAATAGAACGCGCATCACCAGTGAACCCCGCCCCCCCCAGCCTGTGCCCAGGCCAAAAGGTCTCCTGTTGTCTAAGTGCATAGACCAGTTTGCCTGCTCCTATTGTAAGTAGGAATCACACACGATGTTCGCTTTTGTCTGGATTGTCATTTGACCGTATTTGTGAAACTAAGCTGCCATCATGGTGTGTTAATTCTCTGCTTTACAGCATTCTGAGTGGAAATACACCACTGAAGTTCATTCACCTACTGCACATATGCCTTCAGAGAGCTTTGGGTTTTGCGTTCTACACCACGGACATTCCAGTCCATGTCCTTTGGTGGACATCCCGACGTTTCTGCTCGGTTTGGGAAAAGCATTGGCTTGAAGTGCTGGCTTTCCAAAATGGGTCTAGCAATTGGCAACGCCAGCGGCAGCATGGACGTCCTGTTCCTCACATTCTTGCCCGCACGTGATGCTTTCCCATGCTTTTCACTAACTATTTCAGGGGGTGGATGGGAGGACCACATGGAGGAACTGTCCTGGAACTCATGAGCCAGGTATATCTCTCTGTTTTGCAGTTGTTTTTGTTTTTACCTTGAAAGCATGGTTAGGTAAGCTTTCCCCTAGGCACTTGAGGATTTTTGATGCTACTGTAAGCGGTATTGCTTCCAAATTTTTCATTTTCTATGTTTACTGCTGGTATATTAAAGCAATTTTTCATAATGAATTTGTATGCAGGGACCTTGCTGACTTTACTCATTAATTCTAATTATCTGTATAATTCTCAGACTTTTCTACATACAAAATCGTCATTTACAATAGAAGTTTCACTTCATTCACTTTCTTGGCTAGGTCCTTCTGCCCAATTACCTATATATAAAAGGCTAATATGCTAAGTGTCCCTCCACCCATCCGACCGGTTGCTATGATGCGCACTGACCACCAGGGGGTAGATGCTCAACACAGGAACTGCTGAACTGCAGTGACTTGACAGTAGCAGTTCTCAGGTGACGCACCCTGAAACCAGAGAGGGGGAGCCCAATTCCTCTGGGGGCCACGCGATTCCACTTTGGGCCGTGGGTTATGCTTTTGCTGGGGCACTGTTGCCCCGAATCTGGTTTACTGCACACTTGCGTTTGCATTCCATACCATGTACGACAGCAACTTTGCAGAGTGCTCTCACACTCTGGGACCCCTTGGGGGATGTCGGCAGTTCATTCACCTACTGCACATATGCCTTCAGAGAGCTCTGGGTTTTGCGTTCTACACCATGGACATTCCAGTCCATGTCCTTTGGTGGACATCCTGACGTTTCTGCTCGGTTTGGGAAAAGCCTTCGGCTTGAAGTGCTGGCTTTCTAAAATGGTCCTAGCAATTGGCAACGCCAGCGGCAGCATGGACTTCCTGTTCCTCACATTCTTGCCCGCACGTGATGCTTTCCCATGCTTTTCACTAACTATTTCAGGGGGTGGATGGGAGGACCACATGGAGGAACTGTCCTGGAACTCATGAGCCAGGTATATCTCTCTGTTTTGCAGTTGTTTTTGTTTTTACCTTGAAAGCATGGTGAGGTAAGCTTTCCCCTAGGCACTTGAGGATTTTTGATGCTACTGTAAGTGGTATTGCTTCCAAATTTTTCATTTTCTATGTTTACTGCTGGTATATTAAAGCAATTTTTCATAATGAGTTTGTATGCAGGGACCTTGCTGACTTTACTCATTAATTCTAATTATCTGTATAATTCTCAGACTTTTCTACATACAAAATCGTCATTTACAATAGAAGTTTCACTTCATTCACTTTCTTGGCTAGGTCCTTCTGCCCAATTACCTATATATAAAAGGCTAATATGCTAAGTGTCCCTCCACCCATCCGACCGGTTGCTATGATGCGCACTGACCACCAGGGGGTAGATGCTCAACACAGGAACTGCTGAACTGCAGTGACTTGACAGTAGCAGTTCTCAGGTGACGCACCCTGAAACCAGAGAGGGGGAGCCCAATTCCTCTGGGGGCCACGCGATTCCACTTTGGGCCGTGGGTTATGCTTTTGCTGGGGCACTGTTGCCCCGAATCTGGTTTACTGCACACTTGCGTTTGCGTTCCATACCATGTACGACAGCAACTTTGCAGAGTGCTCTCACACTCTGGGACCCCTTGGGGGATGTCGGCGAGCCGGTTTCAGCCCGATCCCTTCAGGCCAGGCCGAGGGACCCCACCTGCTGGAGGGACCCTGCTCACTCTGCAGATGTCAGGAGGGACCACAGGAGGTTGGCTCCAGGGTGTGTCCGGCCTGTCTCAACCACCTTCTAATTAATTTCCTTTCAATGTGCACGAATCAGTGCACCAGGTCACTAATACTGAATAAAATTAGTGATAGTAGATATCCTGTCTGTTTTTGTTATCTTGGGAGAAAACTTTCAATATTTCACCACTAAGCATGTTGCTGACTGAAGTGTAGGATACTCTGTATCCCACTAAAGAAGCTCCTTTCTACCCAGTTTGCTAAGAACACAGGTGAATAGCAATGTCACCACATTCGTTTCTTGCCTGCTAGATTACTTTCCTTCATGTGGTGTCACGGTTACTGATTTTTGATTATTAAACCCTCCCCTTCCTGGAGTAAGACACATCTGATCACTCTGTCTGCCCAGGACGGGGTCATACAACCACTATGAAAGAGCTACAGGCAATCAAAATGGATTATCACGATTGGTTTAGACTAATCAGGACTTACCCTCTGAGTCATGTTAAGAAATGATAGACACCAAATTCTTACATCAAGGCAAGAGAGGAGCAAGGACATCGAGTTAATAAAAAAATGTCTGCTAGAAATTGTATTAATTTTTCCAAAATACTGGAAATAAGGGGCAGTGCACAAAATAATGACACTGTATTCATATCAAATAAAAGTATAGATAACGTTTCTGAATTACATAATACTGGCACACTGCACAGTCAAACGTATGGGTTAAAAAACAGGAGTGGGATGAGCGCTGGGCATATTTTATAGAGTAAGAGCCGCAGAGTTGTCCTTAACTATTGTTTATGAAAATAGTATGTTTTAAAACCTTTTCTTGCTCAAATGTAGTTGAAAAATACAAAAATCACTATTGGTGAGGCATTTATTAGAAACCCATTTATAAGTGCATCAAAAGAATAGAAACTTATGCACTAAACTATTCTGTACCTGTCAAACATCTCACCAACATTTTGCCATTTTAATACTCAAATAAGAATACTGCCTTTTCATAAATTATTCAAATCCAAACTTGCATAGAATTATTAGATTGCATTTTTAAAACATGATAGAAACTTCCATATAAGTATTTAATGCTACTGACCTTATTATCAAGTCCTGATGGTTTGAAAACTCGTTTTATACAATAAAGGTTTAGAGGTGATAGCTTCTGATATCTTTCCTATAAACATGTGATTTTACATCAGAAATATGGCTTTTGGTATAACAATTTCCAAGACAAAATATTTTTCCACATTTATCAATTTTGACAGACTTTGCCTTGGTATGACTCCCTGATATGTAAATACAACTTTAATCCAAAATAAATATTAAATATTTATAAAATTGACTCCTGTATAAATTATCTAGTGTCCAATGAGTTGTAGCATGTTCTGAAGGCATTTTTTCCTGTTGCCTTCTTAGAGACTCTCCTCTGTGAAAAGTCAGATGAAAATGAACCTAATGTCTGAATGTTTTCCCCCATTCAAACATATGAACTCTCAGATCATGATATCTGACTCCAAGTCATTATTCAGAGGGTTTTTCTAAAACGACGTCTGACTTTCACAGGAGATTTCCCTCACTGAGTACATTCACATTCCCCCGCCTATGGATTCTCTGGTGGCTGTTGAAGGCTGATCTGTGGTGGAATTTTTTCCCACATTCATTACATTCATAGGGCTTCTCTCCTGAATGAGTTCTGTAATGCACGGTGAGGTACGACTTCTGGGAAAAGACTTTTCCACATTCATTACATTCATAGGGTTTCTCTCCTGAATGGCTTCTATAATGTACAGTGAGGTTTGACATCCGAGAGAAGACTTTTCCACATTTACTACATTCGTAAGGCTTCTCTCCTGAATGAATTCTATGATGTATGGTGAGATACGACTTCTGAGAAAAGAACTTTCCACATTCATAACACTCATAGGGCTTCTCTCCTGTGTGTACTCTCTGGTGTCTAAAGAGGGATGAATTATGGGAGAAGGTTTTCCCACATTCGCTACATCCGTAGGGCTTCTCTTCTGAATGACTTCTATAATGTACAGTGTAGTATGACAAATCAGAGAACAATTTTCCACATATATTACATTCATAGGATTTCTCTCCTTCTGGAATTGACTGGTGTCCGTCAAAGGCTGAATTTTCAAGGAAAGTTCTCCCACATTCATTACATTGATAGGGTTTCTCTCCTAAAGGAGTTGTATGATGGTCATTAAGATATGAGAACTGAGAAAACTTTCCACATTCACTACATTCAAGGGGTTTCTCATCCGTGTGTACTTTCCGATGTCTAATGAAGGCTGAATTCAAATTGAAGGTTTTGCCACACTCATTACACTCATAGGGTTTCTCTTCTAAATGGCTTCTATAATGTATAGTGAGGTATGACACTCGAGAAAAGAATTTTCCACACTCACTACATTGATAAGGTTTCTCTCCTGTGTGTGTTCTCTGATGTGTAATAAGGGTAGATTTTCGGTAGTAGGACTTCCCACATTCATTACATTTATAGAGTTTCTCTCCTGTGTGTGTTCTCTGATGGTCACTGAGGGCTGACTTGCGGGAGAAGGATTTCCCACACTCATTGCACGGATAGGGTCTCTCCCCTGAATGATTTCTCTGGTGGAGGGTGAGATGCGTCTTCTGGCAGAAGGTTTTGCCACATTCACTACATTCATAGGGTTTTTCTCCTGAATGAGTTCTCAAATGTTGAGTGAGATGTAACTTCTGACAGAAGGTTTTCCCACACTCGTTACATTTATAGGGTTTCTCCTCTAAGTGTGATCTCCGATGTACAGTGAGGGTTCCCTTTTGGCTGAAGGATTTGCCACATACATTGCACGCATAAGGTTTCTCTCCTGTGTGAGCCCTCTGATGTATAATGAATTTTGACTTTTTACAGAAGGATTTCCCACATTCACTGCATTCAAAGGGCTTCAGTTCCATCTGTGATCTCTGGTACATATTAAAATTTGACATCTGGAGAAAGTCTGGTCCAGAATCACTCCACTCACAGGGCTTCTCCCTGATATAAGCTCTCTTATGAGTTTCATTGTTTAAGGCTTCCATGCATTCATTATACTCAAAGGGTTTCTCTAAAATATTAATTTTCTGAAGAATACTTTCTTCATTTTGAGAAAAACCTTCCCCATTTTGATTCAATTCATAAGGTTTCTCTCCATGGTGTGTTTTTCCACATTCACTACACTCATCAGACTTCTTTCTTGCATAGCTTCCATCACTAATAATTAATTCTGAACTAGAGTCTACAATTTTTCCACAAGAGACACAACTATGAGATATGCTTGAAGGAACAAAGTTTGCTTCTGTGTTACAAGTTTTATCAGTTTTATCAAATGTATTCTCTCTCTCTTCAATTAAAGTTTTACTATTGATATAGTAAGTTTGCCTTGAACGTTCATCTTCATTTTCTTGGATTCTTTCTAATACATCATCAACTTTCTTGATTTTTTCTGAAAAGGAATAAAGTTAAATAAACCTTGTGAATCTGAATGTACCAGCTACAGAATAGAAGTGGTACTCAAGTACCCTATTGTAGGGTTAACTCTTGGCTTTTAGGCCAATTTCCACAAATAAAAAATAACTACAAGTGTATAATCCTCTTTTCCCCTTGATTTGTCATTAAAGACAGACAGACAGACAGACACAGACACACAGACACACACACACACACACACACAAGTAGAGCTAGGGGAGTCATGGGGAAAGGATAAGGGTGGGATAGGACTCAGTGTTAGTGGATAAAGGAAGGATAAATTCACTTTGAATACAAGTAGCTTTGTTACTTTACAAATATGTTCAAAACACTGGTATAAAAGGTAAAATAAACAAGCACAAGTGGTGAGCAGAGAACAAAGGCATTGAAAGAGTGCTAGATCCAGGCAGAGTAAATAGAGGCAGTGGGAGAATAACGACTACATGTATATTCAAAGGAAACATTCAAGGATGGATGACGCTTGGGAGAAATAGATTATATTAATTTTATATTAAACTGTAAAATATCACTCCACAACAAGATTACCATAGTAACATCCTCACTAGCAGAGCTCCTTTCAAAATCTTTGCCGTTCTATTCTGCACAGAAATCCAAAAGAACAGTCTAAAAGCTCCATTTTCCTCATGTTTAGAGACAGTCCCACAACCAGGGCCCCAACTCCCTCGCCTTGATCACAGTCACCAGGAAGGAAAGTTCCCTGGCACATAAATGTCCCAAAGACATAAGAAAGACCGACGGCAAGAGGCCTTCCAGGAAGATCAGCTCTCTGAAGGGTTTGCAGTCTTATTATCACTCACTGAACCTGTCTGCACAGCAGAGCACAGTGGTCAGGAGCACTGGAATCCCAACACAATACGTTACAAGCTGAGGACCTTGAGCAAGTGACTTAGCTGTGATGCGGGCTCACTCACTGAAATGTGGGCAATAGTGCCTAACCACAGGGTGGGGAACAGACTGATTTCATTAGCACATGTCATCTGCTTAGAATGGTTGGACACAAAACAAATGCTCATTAAGTTTCACCATTAATTCTCTTTCAATTTTCTGATTTAAACTTCCTAAAACCAGTCATGTCCCTGACACAACACCATAGCTCAATTCTCAATACAAATAAGAGTTCCCACACTCCTGGGTTTCATTTGGTGTAAAACCTTAAATATCAGATTCCAAAAGTTGCCCCTAAAGTAGGAACTTCTATCTAGGCATCTTACAGATTATGGGATCCTCTAAACTACTATTAGCCACTCTCACCCACGCTCACCGCAATACCTAGAATCTGCTCTGAAACCTGTAACATCCTGAGCCCAAAGCCCCAAATACAAACAGGAAAAATCTGAGACGTTGCCATTCACCAGTAAGATTTTTCATTGACTGGATTCACAGCATCCGTTCAAACCAGCACTGCACTGGGCTTGCCCAAACCCCCGCTGCTCCAGCAAGCTGGCTCCTTGCCACCCGCGAGCCTGTCATGTTCCTGTTCACACTGTACATGCCATAAGCAAAGGGAGGCGGGCAAGACCACAGCACCGGTGACCTGGGGGCTCTTTCTGAGAAGGGAGGAAGCGGCGGTCGCGCTGGCACTGGCATCTGTCAGGGAAGCGTCCGCTGGACCACAGGTGAAGGGTTAGGTGTCAGCTGGATCCGCAGCATAAATACAAGTTCAAAGTCCTAACAGTGGGGACTACAGGAACCCTTTTAAGGATCCAAAGGAAAGTAAAGGTGTGGAAAGCAGGTCCAGGGTCAGCACTCCTGAGGAAGGCAAGAGGGTGAACCGAACCCGCTGATGAGACACCCTTCCCGAATGGCTGCTGTGCACACAGGAGCAGCAGACAGACAACAGGAGCGAGTGATGGGGAAGGAGGAGCCGGCCAGTGTCGCGACCCCAGATCAGCCAGGGGCGCAGCTGGGGAGGAGTCAGCTCCTCCAACAGCACAAGCACACGCCCTGGGGGTGGCTGGCCTCGGAGCTCCGGGAGAGGACACGGAGCTGGCCTGTGAGTGCACGGGGCGGGCAGGGAACCTGGGGACAGAACACGAGCCTGAGGCATTTCACAAGGAAGGAGAGAAAGTGAAGGTGGAAGAACATGAGAGTCTCGAGGAGATTCTGTCAGGCTTCTGAATGCCTGCAAAGGGGAATCTGTGGTAAGGGGAGTAGGTTAGTCACTGAGAATTCAAGAGCCAGAGGAGGGACCGGCTCCTCAGCGTGGAAATCACGTGGACACCACAAAGAAACTGGACACGTGCGGGAAGGAGAGCGCCCTCTGGGTCCCCGAGCTGTGACCTGGGCATCAGGCACCGAGACGCCGCCTGGCACTCCCGCAGGCCTGGGGGCCCACTTCTGAAAGTGGGATATTCTGCTAACTCACCTGGGCAACCCTGGCACGGAGAGCCACCTTCTGCCCCCCACGGCTCCTCTCCCTGCTCCAACCTGACGATCACACTGGGCTTGGCGCTGTCGTACCCTGTGGCGGGAAAGGACACGGGCTTGGAGCAGCTGCTCCTGCCTCGGAGGCTGCACAGTAAGGTGGCCTTTTGCACCTTATCAAAGGCAGAACGTTTTTTTGTTTTATTTATTTTTTAAAATAAATAAAAGGTGTTATTAGAGCGATGCATGCAAGAAGCAAATTATTGTCATTTCCTCTTGCAGCTCAGGCTCCTGGGCTCTGCTGGGTATATGATTTTTAGAGAAGGTGGACGGGACAGGGAGAGAGAGACACATCAATTGGTTGCCTAAGACACACACCCTGACAGGGGCCAGGGATTGAATCTGCAACCCAGGTATGTGCCCTTGACCACGCATCGAACCCACAACCCTCCAGTGCACAGGCCAACCTCTAACCACTGAGCCCACCAGCCAGGGCCAAAGTTAGAACTTTCTGATGGAGAAGCAGAGATACAAATACGCTCCCTGGCCCTAACCGGTTTGGCTCAGTGGATAGAGCGTCAGCCTGCGGACTGAAAGGTCCCAGGTTCGATTCCGGCCAAGGGCATGTACCTTGGTTTCGGGCACATCCCCAGTAGGGGGGGTGCAAGAGGCAGCTAATTGATGTTTCTACCTCTCTATCCCTCTCCGTTCCTCTCTGTAAAAAATCAATCAAATATATTTTAAAAAAACCAAAAAACAAATACGCTCCCTGGTGCCCAGATGGAATTCAATGGTCTTATCACCTATTTCTTCAAACTTGAGGATAAAGCCATTGAACAGAAGCCCCCCCACAGCAGCAGTTCAGGGAGCCGCTCTGCTCACCCACGGAGACGAGGTGGCTGTAGTTCTCCAGCATCACGTCCCTGTAGGTGGTCTTCTGCTCCGGGCCCAGCTGCTGCCACTCCTCCTGGGTGAAGTCCACGGCCACGTCCCTGAATGACACTGGCTCCTGTAATGGCAGCGCGATGGGAATTGGGGACGTGGACAAGAGCTTACCGAGCTCACTGGTCAAGGCAACCAGGAGCCCTGTAACCCTTTTATGTTGCAGGTTGTGGGAGGGAAACCATGTCAGAAACGCATGGCATTTGGGTTCCTTCTTGTGTCAAAAAAACACAAAACCCTCAAACCAAAAATAAACTGTTTTCTGATTTTGCAATTGAAGTATCTGAGTCTAGGCTGCGCTCCTGCTCTCAGAAAGCCACATCCGGATCCGGCGGCAGCAGGGAATGAGCAAAGCAGGACACAGAGTCAACTCTCTCCACTGAACGTGGTGTCCTTCCTGGAGGCAACGCTCAGGAAACCAGCCCACCATAAAGCAGCCGAGCACGCCAGCTCAGCCAAATACAAGTGAGGAGAACCTGCAGCCTGTGCACTGCTGGGGCGTAAAGTGGGGCAGCGGCTGTGGACACAGTATGACGGCTCCTCAAAAACTCAAAAACAGAATGATCACATGACCCAGCAGCCCACCTCTGGGTCTACACCAAAAAAACGGAAAGCAAGGACTGAAGAGGTATGTGTACACCCTTGTGCACAGCAGCAGTATTCCAACGGCAACGGCTAACATGGGGAGGTAACCAAGTGTCCATCACCGGATGAATGGATAAGCAAGACGTAGTCTGCGCACACATGGAACATCATTCAGCCTTAAAAAGAAGGACATTTTGACAGGTGGTACAACATGCATGAAGTTCAAGGACACATGCTAAGTGAAATACTCCAATCACAAAGACACAAACACTATGATTCCCCTTACACGAGGCCCTTAGAGGAGTCAGATCACAGACAGGCAGCAGGAGGGAGGTTGCCGGGGGCTGGAGAGAATGGGGAGTTCGTGTTTAACAAGGACGGAGTTTCAGGTTTGCAAGATGAGAAGCATTCTGGAGACGGATGGCGGTAATGGCCGCACAACCATGTGGATGCATTAGTGCCACTGAACTGCAGCATTTAAAGATGGTGGAGACAGCGAATTTTGTGTTATGTGTATTTTACACAATGAAAAATTGAGGGGAAAATGATGTGATACCAACCGAAGTAGACACATATCCCTCCCATCCCTGCTGCAGCCCTTCCCTCCACACAGGGGAGAGGAGCCAAACGGGCTCATAGCCGACACGCTCACCTTAGCGGTAGCAATTATTACCTCCAAAACGGAAATTAAAAACGTCAAAAATCAGCAGCTGAGGGAAACAGTATAAATAAAAGATAAACATCAAAATGAATAACCCAACCACAACAGAATCAAATTCATAAAGAAAGCATCTTATATAACTTCATATTGATTTATAGTTTAATAAATTTACATTTTGTATTGATTTATATTTTTAATAAATTAAGCAACATATTGCTTCCATAAATGAGAACAGTTTGCTAAGAAACAGCCACCAGAGAATACTTAGAAATTAGAGACTGCGTTATTGAATTTTTCAAGATCCTCAAGTAAGAAGCTTGAATAACAAATGAGACAGAATATATGTGAGGAAAACTCTCAGAAAATCAGAAACCGAAATGATGAAAGAAAACCTGAGAGGAGAAAGCCAGGCGCAACAGATTCAACATTTTCAGGAAGACGGAAGTGGAGGAGCCACAGGAAATGCTAAAGGCAGAGCGGAAACTGGTTCCTGAGCTGAAGGCTCAGGCTCGCCTGCACTCGGAAGGGGCCATCTCACAGCCAAAGGAGAACACTGGGCGGAAGGACAGAGATGAGAAATTTCCTGATAAAATAGCCCAGAGGATGAGGGAAAATCCAAAACATTACCGAGGAAAAAATACCCCTGAGCCTTAGTAACTGACATTGTTTCTCCTGGAGAACAGCCGACAACTTTTAAAAGAAAACGATTCTGAACCTAGAACTGTGTGTCAAGTCAAACTATCATGGACACTTAACGATACTCTAAGGTGCTTTCAGAAAAGCGAGAAGCCGCCTACAGCGTGACCGCTGTTCTCCACTGAACCCGAGCGCCAGCGAAGAGGAGCGCGGGCCACGGGAGCTGCAGGAGACCCGCAGGCCGGAGCCCAGTGCTGCTAAGGAGCAGCTGGAGGAACTGCAAACATTTAAGTCCGGTTTCAGGAGGGAAGTGCTCAGTAAAGGAGCTCCATTCTCCTACTATTTGCAAAGGCCGTGTCGACAGAGGTCTAGACCGCTGACCCGGCCCCACTGTGGGTCCCACAGCTGCGCTGCCCTGACGGCGGAGGCAGAGCCGCCGGACAGCAAAGCAGGACGTCCACCCAGGAGAGTCCAAGGACCAGCCCGGTGAGCTATCAAATCACCGGGAGGAAGTAGAAACCTTCTGGCGTAAGCTAGTCCGCAAGGCCAGGAGGGGTAGGGTTAGAAGACAGCTTCATCAGTCAGTAACATGCATACCAATATCACTTACACCAACACAAACATCCAAAACAAAATATCAGCAACAGAACTCAATACCAGATTGAAGAGATCACATATAATAGCTAAATGGGACTTATTCCAGGAACTCAGACTAGTTTAATACCTGGCAATCCATTAATATAATGTACCACTAGAGTACGGATCAGAAGGAAAATCTTGTATCTGCAAAGATGCTGAATAGGCCTCTGGGAATATTCAAAATGCACACTGAATTTAACAAAGAAAACCCTCAAAAAATAGAAATGGATTGATACTTCACTAACATGAATATATGTATATATTTACACACAAAGTCTTATAATGTGCATAGTATATGATATATGCATATGTATGTGATACATATATACATATCTATCTCAATCACATACAAGCACACATGTACACTTTTTAAATTTATACAGACACACACATGCTCGCACGCACACATATGTATGCTTCTGTCCTCTCAAGTTTAAAGTCAGGAATTTCTTTAATGGGAAACACTAGCCATTCATGAGATGCACGCGTGGGCCCCACAGCTCCGGCCTGCGAGGCCCAGCCTGGGCCGGGGGAGAACTGAGACTGAGGAGCCTGCGAGGCCCAGCCTGGGCCGGGGGAGAACTGAGACCAAGGAGAGGAGAAAGAGCTAAATGTCATTCACAATCCCGGACTGCAGCCTCCACCAGAAATTAAAAACAGGAAATCCTGGGAAACTGGCTAAACCGAAAGGTGAATGTGGATTAGATAAAAGCATTATATCAATGTTAAACTTCCTAAATTCAGTCACTGTGCCAGGAATATGTAAGAGAATATTCTTGATCTTAGAAGGTTAAATCTGAAATACAGGTTAAGGGGGCATGACATCTGACACCCATTCTCAAATAAATCAGAAAAAAATGTAATACACACAGAGAGAAAATAATACAGCAAAAGTTAAAAAATGTCAAAAACTGGACCATTTCAGCAGCAGGAACATGGAGTTCTTGTACAATCCTTGTGACTGTTCTGTAAATTTGAAGTTTTTCAAAATAAAATGTTGAATAGAAGAGAATACTCTAAAATACATAGGGAATGTTTCAAAAAGGTGCTGAACTACTGTGAAGGGATTCAAAGATGGGCCACTGAAACATCAAAAAGAGTAACAACTTCAATCTACCAAATCCATTTAACCCATGAGCTCATAGAGACGACAGACTGAAATGCAAAGCCCTGTCCCTCAGGAGCTGGCCCCGTGCTTTGGAAACTGTCCTTCCCATATGAATCACAGGGCCAAGCGGAGCGATGTTCTTCTTAGAAGAGTATCCCAGCGCATAAATGAAGAAGAAGCGGTAAAGAAGCTTGTCACCATCTGGTCTCTCATAGTGAATTCGTGGATCAGGGCAACGGATATCAATCAACAGACGCTCACATCACAAGACGAGACAGGAAGGCAATACGGGCTCCAGCGGGAAGAGGACAAAGGCATGGGCAGCACAGTCTTCCCGAAGAACTGAACCTAAACCTGAGTAAATGCCCAGACCTAACTACCAACTTTACCAGGAGTGCAGGGGATTTGAAAAGCAAAGTTAAAACAGACAGCAATGCAATCAGCACAGTCCACACTGGGGAAACTGAGGATAAACAACCCAATTTACTTTTTAAACAGTTTTTAAAGACTTTTTATTGATTTTTAGAGAAGGAGAGAGAAACGTCAATCGGCTGCCTCCTGCATGCCCCCACTGGGGACTGAGCCCGCAACCCAGGCATGTGCCCTGACCCGGAATCACCAGTGACCTCTCAGCGCCCAACCAATTGAGCCACACGGGCCAGGGCACAACCCAATTTCTTCAGAAAACAAATTTCAAAGAAATGACACGAGACATACAGGGAAAGTTATTATTAAAAGAGGCCAACTGCAACATATAGCCTCTATTTGTATCGTGATTGAAAAGAACAAATTAAAAAAAACATTTAGGAAACTGAAATTTGGACACTGGATCTTACATAACAAAGGACAGTATTGTGAATTATCCCCGCCCACCTGGGGAAAGCCTCTTTTTCCTTCAGAGACACATAGAGAAATACAGGTCAATTTTTTTTTAAAGCCAAGTAAAGGGAGAAAGTATCATTTGGAAGAAACAGATGTCAAAGGCAGATGCATGTCACGTGAGGAAAAGGACCGGCAAATGTCCACAGGACTCGACTATAATTAGGTCACTGCTGATCTTCACCAACAGACGCAGGCAAGTGGGCAGGACTAAGCCAAGGCCCTGAGGCCTGAAGCGGGAATGGGGAGCGAGGACACCCTTACTAGAGAATACCTTTTTGTATTGTTTGCTGGGCAACCCAATAAACAGATGAACAGAAACATCTAAAGGACGAACAGGTCAGTGCCCCTTGACTTCGGTGTTATCCCTGGATTAAATAGTAACAATGGAAATGTATCTATTTCGATCACAATTATTTTGGTGCCTGAAAAAAACAAAATATTGTTCTCTTGGGCAGGAGGCCCTATGCTTACAAAAGCGAGTACAAGCCATATATTGCAATGACTTCCTGGTTGCTATTATAAAAGCTATCCACACTGTATCAAAGAAAAATTATTAAAGAAAAATTCTCAAGTCCTAGTAAATCTTTACAACCCACAACTAACAAATCACACAGTCTCTTATAGTCTATACAAATCACACAGTGGGTGGTATTTTCCTTTTCCTAAGATGGTGAAGGGCATTGGTCGTATTTGCAGCTCAACCTCAATCGCCCTAAAGTATCCTACTACCTGGACACGTGAATTCGACAAAGATTCTTGGTGCTGACCCACCGACACTCTCAGAACTGCCTTTCACACAGTTTTTACCTACCTCCACGTTCCCAGTTTAAAGTGTGGATCCTTATAAACTTCCCAACCTGTCTTACAGAGCAAAGTGGGAAAACTCACCTGGGACTCATGCATTTTCTGCTGCTCTTGGAAAAGTGTGGAGGTTGTTAACAGCGGACCTAGGGGAGAACAAGCAAGTCATTGAAGTCATGAGTACCCTGGCCTGTGTGGCCGGGAACCTTTTGCATGAGAATCGCCAAAGAAAACGCAATAAAATGATGCCCTGTGAACACTCAGATAGGGCTCAAGGGTGACAGAGAGACACACCAGAACCATTGCCACCCCAAAAGGATGGAGGTAATCCGACAGGTTCCTCCCATTGGTGAATATAAACACTGACTCCGTTTTCAAAAGGTTGGCCACCATTAAATAAAAGGTGGTGGGGGTGGTGGTGGTGGAAATCCTGTTACACTGTTGACCTATTTTCTTACTTTTCTTTCAATTGTTAAAAATCAAGGAATACAGAGGAACACAGAGTATGTGCTCTCAGAAACGGGATAAATGTGCATCACGGCGTGGTTTTGTTTATCTGACAAGACTTGGTTAGTGCTGCACTTACTCTCTTAAGAAAACCGCAGTACAGTGGGCACAGCGCTTGCCCTGGGAGCCTGAGTCCTGTTCGCGGTCCCACCTACAGGCGAACACCCGGCCAAGTCCCGCCCTTCTCAGGCCCAATCTCTTCCGCTGTCACCGAGGAGCAGGACGCCCCCTGCAGGCTCATCGAACCGCGGCACCGGGACTGCACAGGCAGCTCCGAGGGGAGTGGGCACACGCTTAGGCCGGTGAACTAGGTCCTGGTGGACGTTTAGAGACGTTGGGAACCTGGGGAGGGCGAGGCGGAGGAAGGGGTGTTGGGGGTGCAGGGAGCAGGGGCACCGACGAGCCCAGGCTGGGACCCCCGAGGCCGCCAGGAGACAGGGAGGTCCCCAGTCCAGGGGGCGCCCGCTCCCGGCAGCCTGCTCCT